CCTGTTCTTGATCGAAATAGGGTGTGAAATTTATACCTGTAACGGTATGTGATTTGATAAGAGGCGCATCTTCACGTGGATTAGAAATTGAAAGAGTTAAATGATTCGAGGAAGATCGGCTATAAAAATGGAAGTGGGTTGCGTTTCAGTAAAACTAATCTTCATCGTTACGTTTTTAACCTATTAACCTTCCACGATTCCAATTTTTCCATATTCCCAAGAAAACAAATTATTCAAATATTTTACATTTCAAATTAATTTAACTTTTGTCCATTACTTCGATTAAATCAAATAATTGAAAAGCAAAAAAAACATTTTCTTCAAACTTCTCTGCACGTTGATATTCTTTAATACGTTGTATTAACATTTTTTACAAGAAAGAAATTAAAGTAATTAGTTAGAAATATTTTTTTTCTTAAATTGTTTTCAATTACGAATTAGAGAAATTCGATTTTTATTTTAGAGATTGTTGTAAATCAGTCGGTAAAGACGAAGCCCTTCCCGCAATCGGTTGGCAACACGATCAACGCCGCCTAGCACGGTGGAGGCACTCCTGGATATTCAGTTGTTACAGTTCAGTCTTTTCCAATGCACTTCGATGCAATGTAACCTCTATCAAGAATATATATATTAATCCTATTATATCTTTGCGTTTAATTCCAACGATATCTTGCACCACGAAGTAACAGAGATGAATCTAGTTAATAAAGAATTATACGTTCCTTTTGAACTGTAATCTTGAATCTTACTGAAATTCGAGTAAAAGTTCGATGTTATTCATCTCGATACATGATGCAACAGGCTGATTCATTATGCAGCCAAAGAAATAAAATATAATTGCGTGAAAGCTGCTAGCTAATTCTTGGAAGACTTTCATATCTGCGGAACGTATTTCCCCAAGCAATCTGAAGTCATCTCTGGATCGTACATAATATGGTTTTATCCTTTCAATGCAGCACCTACAGTGCATCGTTCAACGGTCCGTAGAATTTCACCTGAACAGTGTAATTACAATAACTGACTCCTTCTGTTACTAATCTCTATACTTAGAACAATATCCATTTGAAAAGTAATTCTCCATTCGGTATTCCCTAATTAGCTTCAATTTTGTTTTGTAATAACTTTACTACTGGCTGCATATAAATCTCCAATTTGAAACGGACGGTAACTTAAAATAAAACATTCTTCATTCCTCTGCTCTCGTTCTTCTTTAATCGTTTACAACGCTTTCGCCTTTATACTAATTTAACGGATTTATAAAAAGCGTTTAATGTCCAGAAATCGAAGAAATGCAACGTGTCATCGTGCAACCTAACCTCATTATTAATTCGCGAGCTTCGGTCGAGTCACACGTGACTCAAGACTCCTTAGAATACTACCCTCCTTACATAAAACATTCTATCTACCAATTTTTCATTTTGCAGGGTGTTTTGAAATATTTTCAGATTCGCTAATTTCTCACAACAGACGGTGGTAGCTCACGTGTTAATCTAAATATCTAGTGTGGTCTTCAGATCTCTTTTGACCCAAAGTCTTGAAATCTCTTTTGACCAAAAGTCTTCAGATTTTTTTTACCCAAAGCCGTCGGGTCTTTTTTGACCCAAAGTCTTCAGATCTTTTTGAGCTAGTCTTCAGATTTTTTTTACCCAAAGCCGTCGGGTCTTTTTTGACCCAAAGTCTTCAGATCTCTTTTGACCCAAAGTCTTGAAATCTCTTCTGACCCAAAGTCGTCGAGTCTCTTTTGACCCAAAGTCTTGAAATCTCTTTTGACCAAAAGTCTTCAGATTTTTTTTACCCAAAGCCGTCGGGTCTTTTTTGACCCAAAGTCTTCAGATCTTTTTGAGCTAAAGTCTTCAGATCTTTTTGACCCAGAAACTTCGGGTCTTTGTCGACCCAAAGTCTTCGGGTCTTTTTCAACTCAAAGCCCGTAGAACGTACAATCAAACGGCAGAACGCACTGGCGTTTAACTCATTTCAATCATTCCTCAAATCTTCACTAGCCACCCTTCCAAAATCCACAAAATAACAATTCCCATTCCACACTTCCAAATGCAAGGACTGCAACCTATATAAACAAACAAACCAATCATCATCAGTTACACAGAACTCGGATTCACGTTGCGCATAGAGCCCCTGCAAGCACACGCGTCACACGTCGTCGCCGTGTGCGCGGTCTGTGCAGCGCATAACTGCATCTAAGGTGCGTTGCTCGGATCCCCCCCCTTTCCAGTGTCCCGTGTTCCAGCTTCCACGGAGTCGAGCAGCAGGATTGGCGGTCGCGCGCATATACGTAGTACTTACACGGGACGCGCTATTTGCCCGGCAGAAACGATCGAAAAGTGGGTCAACGGCTGGCTGAATGCCTGGCTCGCTCGACTGCCTGTTGCGTCTCAGCGGAGCCGCTTTCTCTTCTCTTGCGGCGCAACGACACCGTCGCAGGAATTCTAACGCTTACGTATCCACGTTCTCCTTTCCCCTCTTCTTCTTCCTCGGCAATCTTCTCTTCCTCCTTCTACGCACACTGTTTATCCATCGTTTCTTCTTCGTTGCAGCAGTTTATTCTACTTATTATTATTCTTCTTCTTCTTTTTTGGTCTTTGTCTTATCAGTTTCATTTCTCTCCACGTTGGATTTCGACGTGATATTTGTTCAGTTGGTTGCCAGACGACGGAAAGAATGTTGTTTGTTGTTACGTGAACGTGCAACTTTGCGGAGAGTTGCTGGTCGACCTTGATAAGGTAGCGCGTTCGGCGACGCGTGCGTGAAGTTTAAGGTTTCCCGGTGGAGCCTTGAAACCAGGTCGAAAAGACACGTTATGGAGTTTCGTGAAAAATCGAGACGGTGCGCTCTGGTGTGCGTGGGTAAATTTTCTTTCGTACGTGACTTCGTCGAATAAAATTGTCGTTTGTGAAATTGTTGGTTGGAAGAGTTCTTAATTGTTTTTGTTGTTTTTTTTTTGAAGGAAGAATTGGGTGTCAAATATTTCCATTATGTTTTGTTGTTTATACTGAAACGTATTTATCGATCTATTTCGATATACAGTACCGGCGAAAATTTTGGAATCACCTCCCACTTTTCATCAATATTATACCTGCTGCTAATTTTTTATACATTTGAAGTTTATCTCAATTCTACATTTATCAATTGATTCGAATGATAAAAAATTCTCAAAGTCGCTGACTTTTTTCTGGAAATTTTTGTGTAAATTGCAATGCTCGGTGATCCCAAACTTTTTGGCCGGTAGTGTACATACCCTGTTAATCTATTAGGTCAATTGGTATTTATGAAATTATTGGCTGAAAGAATTTTACTAGCAGTTAGAAAATTCTCAATAATTTTTATTTTTTTATGAAAGAATAATTAAGTGTAAAATATGATGGCAACTTTTTGTAGTTTATTTTGAAACATTTTTATCGATTTATTTCGCTGCACATATCTCGTTAATCTGTTAGGTCGTTGCACATGAAATGGCCGATTCATAAATGAAACTTTTAACCTCAATAACGTAGTCGAAACTAAATTCTCTTAATTAAATAAGCTCCAGCAGATTCAATACATTTCTGCCAATAAATTGCAAGTTAATTTAGTATTATTATTACAAAAATTTGAATATTGGCAATAAATTCCTCAAACACGTTCTTTTTTTTTTTTGTTAAAAAATTACTTTAATGCTTAAACTAACTTTGTATTTCTAGTCCAAATACTGTATTCATATTTTATGTTGCCTCAGTTACACTATGTCACCATTTTAATTCGTAAAAGAAAATCACTTTCAATTTGATTAAACTCCATTTTCTATTTTTGACATAACCTAACCTAATTTTTCCAACGAACCAAGTTTTACATTTAAAACAGTAGACAGTAAGTTTCACTTTTTCACATAGCAATCGACATGATTTTATAAGAACAGAATCTTCCAGTACGTTAACACCGCCATTTTACATGCAACGACCTAATACTCGAGAAAACTTCTTTCCCTCGTTAACCTCAACAATCCGCTTAATTATATCTTCGCTTATCTTCAAAATTATTCAATCGAGAATTTACAGTTATCATCAGATACACCGAATGCAATTCTTTTTACACGACTTTTGCATTTCTCTCTATCCAATCCAATTGCTTCTCCTCATTCATGGTTGTCGCGAAGCTTAATTGTATTACATTACCACAGAATTCTTCCAAGTCGCTATTAATCTCTGACTATGATAAACTCATCTACTTAGTCCTTCTCCTCCCAGGAAACCCCACTTTTTCTCTTCGCTCGCTGCCAAATGGCAACGGCTAAAAGTACCGAACACATTCTTCGAACTTCTTACCGTGTAAATCGACTCCGTATAGAGTTACTAGAGATAAGATGTTTTTTTTTTATTTTCGAGAATGCAAGAGAAAACGGCTCTCTAGAGCGAACGAATCGACTTGCAATAACGTTTTCACCGGGAAATCCGTCGGATGAATTGTAATACGCTCGTAATTCGACGAAGGATTCGCGTGAAATAACGGAAGATGCGAGATAACGTTTTCAGGAATTTTAATTGAACGTTTGATTCATTTGAGCAATCGGAATTCATTTTGTTTCCTTTTTCTTTTATCTAATGCAGTTTTAGAAACTAGTTTAAATTTCTAATTTTTTTTTTTTTTATCGTACTGTGAAAATTTGTGGTGTTAGGTTACAAGAATTTTAATTGAAGAAGCATGATGATGGGTTCGATGGGTTTTCAAATTTTTTTTCGAGCGAACGGTGATCTACTTTCCCTTGTTTCTTACAATTGCGTAAGAAATAGAAATACGAGAGGAATGTTTCGAGAAATAGAATTTCATTTTTGGGAAAGATTGTAGAATTTATAATTTTACTTTAACTTTTCGTTTATAATTTTATTACAACTTTACTTTAATTTTTTATTTAAACTTTTTTTGTAATTTTACTTTAATTTTTCGTTTTTAATTTTATTATAATTTTACTCTGATATTGAAATAATGGAAATGCAATTTTTTTGTTGCAGTGTGGAAGCATTCTTCATGCACAGCTGGAAATTTGGAAAGCAGCAGTCGAGGAATCTCCACGCAACACGCTTGCAGCTTCCTGGGGTCCTGCTGTTGTTCAAACACCTAACAACAATAACAACACATCGTCCACTATTGCAAACGCGGCTCCAGTCAGTGTTAAGGGCTCCTCTTGCAGCGTTGATATCTCTGATGGTGAGTTAATCTTTGAATATTATTTATAATTTTGTAAATAATTTTTTAATATCCATTTATTGCACATATTGATAGTCAATTACCCTGTTTTGTTTTTTTGTTTTAAATTACTAAGTAAAAAACTCCTCCTTTAAAATTGAAACACAATTGAGCTTTAAAAATAAATTGTAGCAATCCTTAAAAATTAATTCTTAGAATTTTCTTAAAACTTTATTGAGCAAAGCACTCCTTCTTTAAAATAGGAAATTGAAATATAATTGAATTTTAGAAATAAATTGTAACAATTTTTATAAAACTGTTTCAATTTTTAACCAATTTGCAAAATATCATTTATCAACCATTACAATTCACTTTTTATAAAACAAAAATTCTTCACACATAAACTTTACACTCTTCACATTCCTACTTATTAAACTTGATTAACTTTACTAACCGCTCTAAAAAAATAAAAAATTAACCGTTTGAGAATGAACACTTTATAAGTATAAATATTAATACGCTAAATATTGTATAACATTGAAATGAAAATAGAATTTCTGACCGTAACAGTTTGCACGAACCCAACTATAACGCATATACCGCCACCATAACTCGCTAATCACACGCTAGAAGTAAAGCAGCAATGCATCAAATTATTATAATCACAGTAGCAATAACTCGTATCGCTGCAACTAAGAAATTATCCCAGCCGGTAAATAACCCGACGAAACAGTTAGAATACAAAGCAGCCGTCGGTATATGCTTATTACAAATGGTTCCAGTTCTTGTTAATTAAAGAACACAATTTTTGATCGGAGCAATCTTCACGCACCCGATAATTATCCGTGTTATCACATGCAATCGAAAATCGTTATCATCGGAGCTTACCTCTGTCTTCACGTCATCGCGATTAATCAATTGTACTATTGAACACAGTTATCGACCGAGGAAGCATCTATAATCGCGTATAAATATTAATATGCGAAATGCGAATTCCTTCACGTCCTATTTACCAAACAAACACAAAAGTTCTTTCCGTTGCATCAAACTGCATGAACCCAATAATTAAATGCACTCTCGCAAACTGGAAACACACGCTACATGCAAGCACCAAGACTTCCAATTAATTATTACTCCAGCGATAAATCACCTGAACAAGGATAATCTGAAAAAATGAAGAGAAGAGCAAACATGTAAATATACACTTGTTAAATTATTATACTAACAGCAATGACAATCTTGTAAAATTAACATAACCACGGAGATATACGTGTAAATGTGTTTAATAAATAATTAATAATGACAGATTTAAAATGTCACTATATAATAAGTATGTATGTATACATACACTACAAAGGAAGTTTGGTAATTTGAAAATTCGATAAAATTTGAATATTTGTAGTTATGTAGTTTAAGTAATGGTAATTGTGAAAGCATTTTTTGTTTCGGTAATGAAGAGATACTGAGGGTGTATTCGCCCTTAAAATTATTTCTGAAAAAATTGTCAGAGATTGTCGTGAATATTTTTGAAATTGTAAGATTTGGAAAAAAAATTAAATTCAAAGTGGTCAAAGTGGTTTTTGATGTCCTACATTGTGACAGTAAAAAATTTTCGTGAAACATTACTTTTTCGAAATTTACATTCACCAATATTAATTTTTTGACGAATTTACCTCCACCACTCCTAATATTTTTCAAAATTTACCTTCACCACTCCTTAATATTTTCAAAATTTTCTCCCACCATTCTTAATATTTTTACGAATTTACCTCCATGACTCTTAATTTTTTTTCAAAATTTACTCCCATCACTCTTAATATTTTTCAAAATTTACTCCCATCACTCTTAATATTTTTCAATTTAACTCACACGAATTTTAATTATTTGAAAAATTTACCCCCACCTCTTAATATTTTTCAAAATTTACTCCCATCACTCTTAATATTTTTCAAAATTAACCCACACCAATTTCAGTTATTTGAAAAATATACCCCCACCACTCTCGATTTTTTCATAATTTATTTACTACTTCCTCTATCAGAATTATGCAACGCAAACTAAATTCCAACAAAGTGTATAAAAACTTTTCTAACTGAGTGTATAACTACACGTCTTACAACCAACAACAAAAGCAGCACAAAACCTGAGCACAACAACCACCACACGCAAGAGCAGTCCTATTAAACAAGTACCAGCAAGAAAACTCTCAAAACTACATATAAGATGCACACAATCACAAATACTTACACTTCACTTACAAAACGAACGATCGAAACAACCTTAAAAGGAATCGAACATAACCTTAAACTCCCAACAATATCCCCACCAAATAATCACCAAACACCAACAAACTTGCTAAATCACCTATTAACACACACACACGCACACCTAACGAACCAAAACAAACAAACCACACCATTCACACGTCACAAGGACATCGAATCACAAGGAAAATTGCATCGAGCAGATCCGGGTGGTTCCTGGATCACTCACCAAAAGGAGGCGTACCGGTTGGGCGCCGTTTCTTTTTTCCAGACGAGGACGAGGACTGTGGTTCGTCGCAGACAGGCACTGGCAGTGGCAGCAGCGGCGGCGGCGGCGGCGGCGGTGGCGGCAGTGGTAAAATGCGGAACGGTGGCTCGCACATTCACCTCTGGCAGTTCCTGAAGGAGCTGTTGCAGAGTCCGGGTATCCACGGATCCTGTATACGCTGGCTAGATCGCGGCAAGGGCGTGTTCAAGATCGAGGACTCTGTTCGCGTAGCTAGGCTGTGGGGCAAACGAAAGAATCGTCCGGCCATGAACTACGACAAGCTTAGTCGCAGTATCAGGCAGTACTACAAGAAGGGGATCATGAAGAAGACGGAGCGTAGCCAGAGGCTGGTCTATCAGTTCTGCCATCCTTACTGCCTGTAAATCGGGTCCCGTTAAACCTTTGCGCTCCCAGAGAACGTCGACGGTGTTACCTGGACGACGTACACTCGAGAAACCAAAAAAAAAAAAACACATTCGTATTTATTCGCGATACAAGAAACACCGCGACTGTTTTACCAAGCGAGAGCTCTAAACTGCAAGCTTCGTCGTTACCTGTTCGCGTGTACCATTTATGATATTCAAGTACTTATCGCAATACACACTGATACGTGTCGAGGTAACACACGTCGTCCTTTAATCGTGCCTATCTTTTTCACACTCATTTATACACACACACGGTTAGGCTCTTGCTAGCCTGTGTATACTAACAGATCGGTGATTTAGTTTGCGGCGACGAACGTATCGCGATAGAGGCTGAGCAGCGCAAAGGGTTAACATCTCTCCACCGTTTCCAGAATTCAGGGTCGCGTTCAGGCTGATTACCTTGAGTCTGGGCGTTTTATTTTCTTCGAAGGGAGCGAAGAAGAAGAAGAAGGGCTTCCGACTCTTTTCTTCTCTTGCGTGCAATCGTTCGTTTTTGAACTCGTGTCACATGGTGACGTTTGTTGCTGGTGTGCATGGTGTCTCTCTTGTTTTTGCGTGAGTGTTTCTACAGTGTGGCTGATATTTTTGAGAGAGAGAGAAGAAACGAGCTAAAGGAAAAGGAAAAAAAGAAGAAGTGGAGGAGAATCAGTAGAGAGGTGTCGAAAGGTAAAAGAATACGATCCACCGTGTCCGGTGCGTTATTGATCCTTCCGGGGGCAATAACCCCGTGTCACGGTTGGGTACCATTTAGTACGCCCGTTTTGGGCGAACCCTCCCCACTCTCCCCCTCACCCCCTTGCTTCCCAGATTTTCTTCCCCCACTCCTGTTACACACCTAGTTTTCTCTCACTTCTGTTTCGACTTTTCTGTTGTAACATAAACGATTAAAAGATAAGTTAATCCTTCGTTTCACGATCCACGATTTCCCCGCGGTGCTCGTTTCATCGCTCGCGCGATCAAACGAGCCGCGACCTGGTTGCCGGAAGCGTCGAGACGGTTGCAGGGTCGATTTTCAGGATCTTTCGACTGATACGTATTTTTTTATATCTTGAATAGTGAAATTTACTTTTTTTTTTATTTTGCCATTTTTCGAGGAAACTTTGATCGATTCGGCACGTTGCTTACTTCGAAAATTAGTATTTTATTTTTCAATTTTCTTTGTTTGCCATTTTTCGAGGAAATTTTACCGATTTGACGAATTACCGACGGAGGACGCGAATTTTCGTCGTTCGTTCTTCAACTGCTTGTGACGAGGTACGCTAATACGCTTCGTCTACACTTCTGTTATCAAACGAAGTGGTGAAAATTATTTGTATCATCGGGGCCTCCGTACTCAAATAGGAAACCGACAAGGAAGAATAGAGAGGGCGCAGTTGGCGTAGTGCGCAAAGCCTCCGCTTGCTAACCCGAAGGTCCCGGGTTCGATTCCCCTTGGGTCCCTCGAAATTTTTCCGTCGATTCCTACAAGTTGTTTTTGAAAAATTACAAATATACAACGTGCCAATCGATCGTTTTTCAGTCAGCAATGTGCCTAACACGCGGTTCTACTACGATGTTAATGCAATTAACGATCGCGTGTTCGCGTACCGACACACCATTTAACCAACAAACAGTATATTATGCACACGTACTAACACTAACGTTCTACTAACGTAACGAATAACGTAAAAGTACGATTAATGCTGTTGGTTGTGTGTTATCGCTGTGTTCGTGATAATATCAGCGATACACCGCTGCAGAATGTTATTTAACGTCGTACTAACCGTAATGTTAATGTTGTAACGTGCTAATGCTGGTATTAAATCGGTATTATATACCGTTGTACTACTATTAGCATGTTATCGATGCACGTAAACGTGTCGTTACGTTGACACGCGATATCGGTGTAATTGTGACAGTCGAAAGGTGGAATATGAAAGATCGACGCCCGTTTAGAATGGATCTCGTTGTGGAGGTAACGTCCCGCGAGTCCGTCGAGCGTGCAACGACCATGTCTCGACGCTGTTTTATTTGTTTGTTTGTTCGTTGCTCAATGGAGGGAAAAAAATAATTTAAAAAAAAAAGGAAGAAGAGGGTCAGTGGAGATTTCGTTGGAAAAAAGAAAAGGGAAGAAACTACTGTTTCCCTTCTGTTCTCATGATTGCTTACCAGCGCCAGTCGCCAGAAGCCTCGAGCTTGCGTCCGATCGAACGGATCCACGATTCATTTGGACGATCTAGCGCGCGCGGAACTATTCGCAGTTCGCTCGAACCGTCCCGCCATTTGTTTTTTTCTTTTTTTCTTCAAGGAAAGTCGCATGGCGAGGAAGAGACGATCTTTCGATTTTTTTTAGATGGAACATTGCGTGACCTAGATAGAGTAGTGAAATTGTTGAATTTTTCGAGGGGGGTGTGTGGAGCTTGTGATATTGTTGGGATACAGGGTGATGTAGAAGAGGAAGTGAAGCATATAATACTTAATTTTGGAATTTTTGCGGGAAGATTTCTGTGGTGGATTTTTTATTTGATACGTGTGATAAATTGAATTTAGGAGAATGAATCTTGTTACTTTCGATTATGCGAATTGAATTCAGAGAGGAAGTGAAATAAGATTATTTCCGGTTGAATTTTCATTTTTATTATTTTCAAGGGAATGTGGATAAATTATTTTGCATTAAAAAATATAATTTAATCTTTTTCGTTCACTTCTACGAGTTCATAGGTCAACTCGTATTATTTTAGAGAGAATACAGATAAATCACTTTGCATTAAGAAATATAATTTAATCGTTTTCGTTCACTTCTACGAGTTCGTAGGTCAACTTTTATTATTTTAAAGGGAATATAGATAAATCACGTTGCACTAAGAAATATACTAATTTTCGTTCATTTCTACGAGTACCTAGGTGGATTTTTATTATTTTAAAGGGAATATAGATAAATCACGTTGCGCTAAAAAATATAATATTTCTCGTCCACTTGTATGAGTTCATAGGTCAACTTTTACTATTTCAAAGAAAATATAGATAACTCACGTTGCATTAAAAAAAAAAATGTCAATTCCACTATTTTTCGTTCGTTTCTATGAGTATTATATGTCCCACGCATACCAGTTACACACAAATTTTCTACCTATACAAAACGAATAATCTATTTTATAAATGAAATATTTTTAGAAGCGCGTATATATTAAAACTATTTTTGATACTACACAGCTAAATACGACGAAGCAAAATTTGAATACAAAGGAACACCTTTAACACACATCTTTTGAGCCTCTGAACAAGCTTCGAAAAGTGCCTTGTTCTGTGTTCACAAACGATCACCGTCGACGGTGTGTTTTCCTACAAAAATCCGTTCAATCTTCCACGCGTCCTTTTCAGGATGCGTACAATGTTACTCGCCGAGCGGAGCGGAAAATTTCGCTCGCGCGGCGTGAAACGACGGACGCACGATCGATTCGTCCTAGGATACGTGGTCACGCCTTCACCTTCTCGATTAGAAGTTTCGCAACAGAGTTTCTTTGAGAAAAAAAAAAAAACATAAAAATAGAAGAAGAGAAAATAAGAAAAAAATAGGGAGAGAAATGCGTGAAAGGATAAAACGAAAGTGTAGAGAAAATGGCGATCGTGGAATAGCTCGAGGCGTGTAAGCTTGCGCGGCTGGTTCTAGTGATTTTGGTCCCATATATCTATGATATATTAAACGTTGTATGTTCCATGAACGATTTAGCGTGTAAGTTTCACTTTAGGCGTATAAGTATCATGACGGCTCACGTGAGCCGTCTGTTAAGTTACTCGAAGAGATTTCCGTCTTATACTTCCCTTCCACCTTTTTCCCTGTTCGTCCCCCCCCCCCCCTTTTCTAACCTGTATCGGTTCCACGCCGTTAATCGTGCTAGCCTTTTACCACTAACCATTTATTTTCTATTAAGATTTATTTAAACACTCTCTGAATATTTGCGGAATTCCCGACGATCACTGGGCTTTAATAATGTAATTCTCTGTGTTTTCTTCTTTTTCTATTTTCGTCCAATTTTCACTGAAATGTGGAATCAGAAGTTACTTCGTTCAGTATTTACTTATATAGGGAAGAAATCATATTTCTTCTGTGTTTTCTTCTCTTTTCTATTCAATTTTTACTGAAATGTGGAATCAGAACTGATTTCATTCAATATTTACTTACATAGGGAAGAAATCATATTTTTTCTGTGTTTTCTTCTTTTTCTTCTCTGTTCAATTTTCGCTGAAATATCGAACCAGAAGTTACTTCGTTCAGTATTTACTTATATAGGGAAGAAATCATATTTCTTCTTTGTTTTCTTTTCTTTTCTACTCAATTTTTACTGAAATGTGGAATCAGAACTGATTTCATTCAATATTTACTTACATAGGGAAGAAATCATATTTTTTCTGTGTTTTCTTCTTTTTCTTCTCTGTCTAATTTTCGCTGAAATATCGAACCAGAAGTTACTTTGTTCAGTATTTACACATATAGGGAAGAAATCATATTTCTTCTGTTTTCTTCTTTTCTTCTCTTCAATTTTCACTGAAATGTGGAATTTTTTTGGTTCGAAGCTCAGGAAGGAAGCGCGAGAAAAGCGTTCGTTCGATGCTTAGAGATACGTTTCTATCGGAGAATTTTTCACGATACATAGTTGCTCTCGAGAGTGCTCTCAAATAGTATTTCCGAGTCTCCATCACTCTCAATACTGCGAGTAACTAAGTACGCTGATAAATTTGACTCTCGAGAGTACTCTCAAATAGTGTTCGCAATTCTCCGCCACTCTCAATACAGCATTCTCAATACTGTGAGTAAGTTCACTGATAAAGACTCTCGAGAGCAACTCGCGACACCATCACTCTCAAATGGACACGTATCCACCTTTAAGAAAGACTGACGAAATATCGAACCAAAATTTATTCCATCCCACGCTTGCACACATTAAGAAGAAAGCAACAAAGAAACCAAAGGCTCCGTG